GGTCTTTTTCACTTTTCATCCTAAGATCTTGCAGTTTCTTCAGTGAATGGGAAAGAGAGCATTCCGAAGCTAGTTAGCTTTTTCAGCTGAGGATTTTGGAAAATACTCGTATTTATTACCCTCATGTTGATTTTACCAAAGCTAGCCAGATTTGAGGGATATTTCTGGCTTTCAGTTTGACCAGCTTGCCGTACATGCACTCATTTTGTTTAGTTTATCCGTGGATGGGTTAAAGTAATTAATTAATTGATTTGTTGAATTGGATTTTTCATTCCTATCTTGTTTTGGCAATTTTGTTAATTCCCGAACTCCCACAAACCCCAACATTTCTTTGTCTTAATTAATTAATAAAGACTTGTGCAAAATAAGGGTAGATTCAGAATTTAAGATACGATGAGTCGGTCGGTTTTACTTCTATTCATGTTTTGGTGCAACTTCCATTCTTTCTGACTCATGAGCAAAAATACCTTCCTGCAATTTACCAATTTCAGCTTCACTTTTGTGTGTATAGGAAGATCAGAGTTCTTTCATCTAAATGAGAGCTTGACCAATGACCATTCTCTATGTATCCCTTACAAGTTTAGTTTTGCTTCTTGTACATGTTGTCCGTGAACAAATTATATTTTTGTTTATGAATAATCTGTTCATAGACAAAATTTTACTCGTGAATAGACAACTCATAGATAAAAAAAAGTATGTTCACCTATGGTGTGTATACAACATGTACAAATCGGACGTGTACAAACACCAATTTTCTTATAAGTTACGAGTATTATCGGTGGCCTGTACACAAGGTGTTTAATAATATAAATACGTTCAATATCTTAATTTGTACCAACTTGTTTAGGATTTATATAATTTTTGGCATAAGGGTTTTCCCATAGTATGTTATTATTATTATTAATTAATCATGAACATGTTTGTGAAAATGTTTCCTTTCCTCATAATGTATCTGTCCTTAGCTGATTTTGGTTGATGAAAAACAATGTCCCATTGTAGTTATGGTACGAAGTATTAGGAATTCGGAACAATTTTTTGCTAATATTCTGCTTTTAAACCCGTTAGCTTTTCAATTTATACTTGAATTAAGATAGAATGACAATAACAATTTGTAAAGTTTTATAAATTGTGTGAAATGTAGTTCTTAAAATTGTTACTCCGTATTATTTTAGACCAATGGAGTTTATGGTTTAAACGGTACCGTTTACACGTTTCTTATTGAAATTTGAAATTTTGAAATATTATTTGCAACATTTCTATGTTTGGCAATTAAGTTTATGAGTTCATCATACTCTTGTGTCTTCTTTTTTACATTTTACTTTTTCAAAATTTTCCTGCTTTTTCTACTTTTTTTTATTTTTTCTTAATACTCTTTTATCTACTACGTATATATTATTTCCTTTTTTTTTTTTACATTTTCTTGACATTACTCACTACACCTGCTATTATTTATTATTAATTTTCGTGTAAAAACCCTAAAAGCACTACTAATAAAGTATCGAAAGATCATAAATTCATAATATATAACTTGACACATCGTGATTATTATAGACGTCACACTAAACAAAATCACGGGATTGTACTTTTTAGACCAATATGACTAATATTAAATGGAACTGACGTACATGTGGATTTGTTTATGGATAAAATTGCTTGTTAATTTGCATCAATACAAATTTACACATAGAGATTATAAATTATTGGGAGTGAACAAAGCAAAACTATCCGTAAAATCTATTTATATTCAATCTCAAAAGGTGTTGTGGTAAAGAGCTTGTTTGATGAATCTTAGAATGGTAGTATCTAAAATATATTCGCTAATAAAAAAGTAACTCTATGAAATAGGAACTAAAATGGCTGTCTTCCACAAATTTCTATAGTAAAAAATGTACATAACTTTTATTCATAGAAATCCATAGAATATGTTGTCAAAACTTAGTGTACGTTTTTTGATTTAATAAGAATGATAAACGTAAAACTGTGGTTACCAAAATTCAAGCTAAGCTAATGTTTAAATGTTTATCCATTATGGATTGATGATTAACCTTATTTATTTATACAAAAACCACCTCTCTCCTTGTATGCAGCTGTGGCATTACCAAAACCCTTGAGCGCTACCAAAATTGCAGCTTTAATCCTCAAGAAATCAGCAGCAGTAGAGAAGCAGAGGTTCGCATTACTATGAACTAGTGTAATATTGATCATAATGTAGTTAATTACTAGTAGTACTTAAACAGTAATGAGAAGTAACAGTTTATAATTAATTGATCTGATTTTGTAATTATTACATGCTTTTTACACAGAGCTGGTACAATGAGGTTCTAACACTCAAGACCAAGTATGAATGTCTTCAGAGAACTCAAAGGTGACTGACCAATTATATAATCATGAATTACTAATCACTACTTATAAACACACACATATATGATTTATTTAATTTTTGGTGATGATGCATAATTAAACCTATTTTTGCAATGGCCTAATGGTTGGTTGAGTTGCAGGAATCTGCTGGGAGAAGATTTGGGGCCACTAAGCGTCAAAGACTTGCAAAATCTTGAAGCACAACTTGAAAATACTCTTGCACAAGCTAGGCAAAGGAAGGTAAAAAAAAAGGCCTTAAAATTAAATAACACTTTCTTGATGATGTAATATATTCCTGTAAGTACTACATATGTGCATATATATTAGCAAAGAATAATGAAGAGCTATATTATTTTTTATGATTCCATCACAAAAATATATGCTTGTATGCAGACTCAAATTATGATGGAAGAAATGGATGAACTTCGAAGAAAGGTGACGACTTTGCCTCCTCAATCCTCATCCCAATAAAATATGGTTTTGGAAGTATTTAGGATTAACTAATAATTGATTTATCATATATACATACTGATAATTTAATGTGCAGGAGCGGCATCTTAACGATATGAATAAGCAGTTGAAGACCAAAGTGTCACTTGAACTATCATCGGTACTCGTATTATAAATATTAAAATATAAACATACATATATACATATCATTTGTTCGTAGTTATTCAATTTGAATCTTATGGCTTTTACACTTTACCATTATCACTTTGATCATCAATATATTTAATTCGCTATTAGTAAATATTACTCTCTTGTTCCATAATTAAGTTCACATATATATGTTCACATTTTCATTAATAGTAATATTGAGATGTTAAAAGACATTTATATCCCTCAATTTACCCCTGGTCATTTAGCACTTCGGCGCTTCCTTTGATTTACCCCATTTTACTTTTTGTCGTGATAAAATAATGGTATACGAGGAAAGTCAAAGAAAAATATGACACCCGTGAAGCCAACTAAAATATGAGTAGGAGATAGTATAAGAATTACAATTCCTATTTCTTTTATGTAGACATATGGTCATACAAATTTAACAGCAGTCCTCATATTAAATTGGTAAATACATTAACAGATGTACCAAATTCAAATTAGAGTACCTAATTGGTACATTTGCAAAAGTGGTTGTATATAATGCATTTTATTCAGTACACTTGACCTGCATAATATTATTTCTCCTGCATTGATTTTTTCTTTTTCATTTTTTTGCAGCTAAATTCTGGAGAAGAACGTGGAAATGACACCCTGCTCCTCCCCTGGAATACCTCTAATAATAATAATAATAATCCATCAAGAGAAAATCATGCCTTTAATCTACTGCAGCTACCTTCTCAATCCAACCACACTGACTATAGACCAGAACTTTTCCTCCAAATTGGGTACATCCTAACACTGCATCATCTAATTCTCTCATATCATCATGACATCTGCATGTACATAGTGCATTTTATGGTAGGCTCAATTCTACACACTTCATAAGTTATAGCTTTAATACACTTTAAAAAGTTCTCCAAAACTCTCAGTTGTATGTTTGACACAATTTGTTTTTATCAAGAGTAGTTTTAAAAATTAGGATTTTGTTTAGAAGCTACTCTGAGTAGCTTTTGAGAGAAAGTTTGTGTTTTCGACATTAATCAATCGCAGATTCGCAAGAGTTTGTTATACAGAGTATCAAATAAGCAACTTTATGAAACATTGACACCACTTTTTTCAAACCTTTTGCATCTCTAAAACCGTGCAGTATTAAAATTCATGAAATGTCCTTTTAGCCACTTACTCCAAACATGCACATAATATGTGTGTGCGCTTCTTCCAAAATTAAACTCAGGGGCATGACAAAGTATTCTAAAAAAAACATTAAAAATGGTTTTAATGATTCGAATTCCTTGATAACTCCAGTGTGTTCTTTACAGGTATGATCACTATATGGGAGCAGAAGCTGCAGGACCCTCCAGGACAACGAACATTGCGACTGAGAGTAGCGTCTATCATGGATGGGACCTTTCATTATTCTGAACTATAGCTTACCTTCCTTGCTTGCTCCATAAAAGTAAATATATACTTTTGATAGACTAAGCTACTGCCTTATATAAGTATTACACTCCGATTTACAAAGTCATCCTATTACAGCTTTACTGTGATTAAGTTTACATTTTGGTGGTCAATATAATTTGCCTTTACATTTGTTCTTTGAGAAAGAATTTCATGTTCACCTATCTATAAAATAATTGGATATGCTCATATGCATATGAAACCATCAAAGAAATCTCATCTCAGAAAAAAAACTAAATGGTCACTAATAAGAGTAAAGATAAAAGAATAGTAAATTGCATGAATCAGAGGATTCTTGTTTTGTCCTGTAAATAGGATTCATTTAGGGAATAACCCACATGATCCTAATAAAAGTGTAAAAACAGTGAAAATATCTCTTTAGGGTGAGTGGGTCTTGTTTTAGGAAAAACAATGATGACCTGTTTAAGGAAATCAGTGACTCCACTTTAGATTCAGGCATGAGAATTAACCACACTAATTCAAGCCAATTTATTACCTTTTACCAGCATTTAAAAACCACAACAGAAACATAAAACATGCACATCAACAGCATCGGATTGAAACTGTTTGAGTGCAGACAAGTTTAAAGTAGTTGCAAATGAGCCACTCGCATTTCGGTTTAAAAGAGTTTAAATTATTGATTGCTTGTAAATTTTAATGGAATTTGAACAAGGAAGATCTCCATGTATGCGGGCGCATATAAAGAGGAAGAAATATGTATAGCTCCCCTTAGATTGAAGGACATCATGCATCACTAAAAATTCCCTGATCACAATTATCTGAACTGGAACACCACTGTTGCAGGCTTCGCCCTACTCTCTGGCAGTCCAATGTACAGTTCAGTCTCCACATCTGATTTTTCACTTCCTTCCGGGCAAATGGCATCCCTTTCCATCCCTTCATTTGATACTTGTGGTTCCAGTGTCTTAAACTGTAACAGTTAATCAGATAACATCATGGAATGTCAAAGTGGTGATAAAAAGTGCCAATCTTTGCTAACAAACTTCACTCCCTGTGTCCCTTTTTATATCTTCGTTCTTTCTTTTTTCGTCTTTTTTCGTCTGTACCATTTGGTCAGATAAACTTGTTTTTGTTTGTTCAACAAATTTGAGCAATTTCCTAATTTGAACTCTACTGTCTTTTCACTTTCTCACTTAATCTTTTTTACATATCCTTCCACCTTTTACTTTTTGTGCACTCAAACTATTTTTTCATTCCCTTAGAATGCTATAACTGTTAAGTAACAACTATCTTCTTTTTCCTCAAAAAAAAAAAACTATCTTCTTTATTGTGTCAAACTCATGCCGAACTCAAATGTATCTTATATCTTGGCCTAGAAGGAGTAACATTTACATTTATTAATACCTTAAAGAGTGAGTGACCAAGAAATAGAAAAATAATAAAAAGAATTAGTTGGAATATTAGATCTTACCTTCTCCCATAGCATTGCATTTTCAGCTTTTAGTGCATCTTCCTATAATTTGGTAAGCAGAAAAGATTACTATTAACCTGATAAGGAAACATGAATAAACAAATACTGGCTAAACAAGCAATCCGTGTTCTAGTAAAAATTAAAAAACTTTCCTCATGTGTGAGTGCATGGGCATGCTAGCTATTCATTCTTAACATGGAAGAAAGATGCACCTTAAAATGATTATTTATAATCATTATAAAACATACCTTCTCCCAGAGCATTGCATTTTCAGATTTTAGTACATCTTTCTATAATTTGGTAAGCATGATGAATTACTAATAACCTGATAAGGAAATCAAAATGAGCAAATAGTAGCTGAACAAGAAATCCATGTCCTCAGAGGAGTTTTCTAATTTTCCTATGCATACTCGCTAATCATTCTTGACATGAAACTGTGAAAGCATACACTTGGAAACTTTACCTTTTCTTTTAGCCGCTCAATCTGATCCGTGTAGACTTTTACCTGAAAAAAAGCAATAAAAAGTGGAGATATAGCTTCGACGAAAAGATGAATATGATAAATGATTAAATCCTTAACTGATCTGACATTACTCAACTGGAGCACTATACAATTAGGCCAAACCAGAGCGAATGATTGAGTTCGTTCAATTCGTTAGTCCAACTTGCTGCCTTATAAACCAATGTGCCAATGTAATATATACACAACTCACCTTTCTTGCTCGGATGATGTTAACACTCCGCTCCAACTGCTGCTCTATCTGTTGTAGCTCCTCCATGGGACATGATCCCAGATCTTCTCCCAGAAGTTTCCTATATAACATGAACTAACATTGTTTTAATCTTTCTGGGGAAAATAAAGAATACCTTAATTAACTTAATGGAACATTTTCAACTTATTAACACTTGTGGAGGAAATTGCAGATTTTAGTCCCATAATTTATGAATGTGCCCTTTACTTGTCCTGTAAACTGACTCCTCATGTCCTATATCTAATAAATTCATCAACATTTAAGACGTTTATACCGAATGTACTTTAAGTGGCAGAAAATTCTTTGCCTGCTCAGGTGAAGTTTTTGCAGGAAATGGCACATCCCAGTGAAATGTGGACAGACTTATGAGTTATAGGACACAAGCGAGTAAAATTACAGGACTAATAACCGGTACAACATAAGTTATGAAACTAAATAGCAAATATCCAAATATTTGTGTACCGCTTTGAAGCTTCAAGGGCATCTAGTTTTTTGGCCAGGCATTCAGTTTTCTGCTGCATATGCTGCAAGTTAGAAATAAGGTTCATGCTCAATGTGCTCAAAAGCATCTGGGAAGAGATAAAACAAGAGAGACTGATTGAAGCATAACCAGCATGTCCTCATCTGGTTCCTGTTCCACTGAGGGGTTTTCAGCGTGACGATCCACAGTGTACCTGCGATATCGCGCTATGGTCTCTCTCATGCTGAGCGCGATTCCATAGATATAGCGAAAATCACAAGTCAAATCACTGGTTTTTAAAATTGGCAATCATGCTTAAAATTGTAATACTAGTAATACTTTCAATTGTTTTCAAGTCCTAAGAACAGATAGGAATATTGGAGATGGTGTTATTACTACTACGTATTTTTTAAGATAATAACCATGACACCCATTTAGTCTTGATCAAAATAGAGCAGAGCCAGTGTTCAAATCAACAAATGTCAGACCAGAGTCGACAGGCTGGTATTATTACTATATATATGCACACACAAACTCATAGCTAATTAATCCAATAATGGATTAGACAATGTTTTTTTGTGAAGTAATTTTTTTTTTGAAATTTTGTGAAGTAAATTATGGGCGACATAGATAAAAAGTTCACACACAAAACAATTTGTCTGTGTTACAAACAATTCACCTTAAAAAAATATCTGATCACAAACAAAAAGGGCATGAACACGACATCTACGAGTTTGACATGTACAAAATGAATCAATCAAAATCTTAAGTGCATCAAAGCCCTAATTATGGGTGAAAATAGGCCAATGGGTTGCTAGGACATGGAGTCAAAATGACTTGTGTTAGGTTTTTGGGTCACTAATTCCTTTTTTTTGGGTCACTTATCCCCTTTTCAAGGAAATAATAAAAACAATAGCCCAAGACAAAATTGAGATGAAAATATAATTGAAATATCACAAAAGAACATATGGAGTGTAAAATTGATTCTGTTTTTGCTTCTATTTCAAAACCTGCTGTTAAGAGTAACTTTGAGCACTTAGAAATGCTTCTGCACTTTTTATAAAGTCCCCGATAACCTAAGAAGTATTAGAGTGTTATATTAAGCTCTGGGCGACTCCTCCTAACAGGTTGACCTTTTAGGATGGAACCCCGGGTCTTAACATGGTATCAGAGCCAAATCAATCTATGGTGTGGGCCCCCTTATGAAAAATGACGATACGATTTAAAAAAATGAAAATGATGAACGACGAATAAAATGAATGACAACACAATCCAGACGAAGTGTCTGGTCGTGAGGAGGGGTGATAAAGTCCCACACCGATAACCTAAGAAGTATTAGAGTGTTATATTAAACTCTGGGCGACTCCTCCTAACAGGTTGACCTTTTAGGATGGAACCCCGGATATTAATAACTTTCACCCAAATACTCCAATATCTGTTTCTACTTCTTGAATGAGCAGAAGTAGAAAAGGTTTTAAGAAACAGATCTAAACACCATATAACAGTTTATGTAAACTCTTACATCAACATAATTGTTCTTGCTACTATAAATTCACCATCCATCGGTTACACCGATGAGGAATGTACAATAGACATTGCTAAGAGAGAAACATATAATACTAATTGAATAAATCTTTTTTTAAGTGAGAGAAGATGAGAGATTAAGAGAAGAAAAGGGAGAGGCGGCTAGGGATTTATTTAGTTTTGTTAACTTCTAGACTGACCCATATATATAATACATATAACATAGAGACACTTGTATATACAGATGTATGCCAAATTTGGTTCATATGAGAACATTATCTAAGGGGGAAATGAAAATGATTCCAGAGCGATAGATTTTTGTATTGTGCATAACGTGAAACAGAAATGCGCACTACCATAAATTAGAAAATGAGTATTTCATATGTACATTATTTTGAAATCAAATGTGTGCATTGGAACTATGCATTATTTTAGCCATGAATATCATCCCCATAAATCATAATGTGCATCTTTTTGGACCGTTCTCATTCCTCACAAGCTAGGTAGTTTACTCGCTACTCGGTAGCTACTCGGTCAAGGGCCAAGTAGCGAGTAGGACCGATTACTCGGGATTACTCGGTGATTACTCGGCCTAGTATTAATTAAATATAAAAAATATATTTAAATATAGTAGTCTTAAAATATAGTAATAAAATTGTCTTAAAATGTTTAGAAGTGAACAAAAGGATATAAATTGTCTTAAAATGCATATAATACGTATACAATACCAGAATACAACTTCAAGAACCAAGAGCAGTGGAAGAAAAGGCAGGCAAATATTTTCTGCAGTTTTTTGGCACGTATTCTTATTCCAATTGAAGAACTTCAAAGTAACTTCAAAGTGGCACCTACCGAACAACGAGTCCTCAAAGGTAGTTCCCTAAATGAAAATTGCAGCTCACCCAAAACCAAACATGATGCTTTTTTGCTAAGATATATTTTTCCCACCTTTTCAATTAATAGATTTTATTTCAGCATTCAACAACTCAGGTCTCAGAGGTACATTCAATACATTCACTTTAGTTGGCCAAAAACTTGAAAATGTACAATGAAAACACCAGTTTAAGAAGCACAAGCAAACGAAGAACAATCCAAAATTCTTAGAGTTTATTACAATATAATAGGCAACATGAGGGAGAATAAGAAACAACACAGAGGATAAACTCAATTTAATTTTTTTCCAAGCGGAGGTAATGTTTTTTTTTAAATACCGAGTACTCCCGAGTAAATCGCCTTTTTGACCCACTGGTCGAGTTGGCTAACTCGCCGAGTACTCAGCGAGTAGGGAGTGCTACTCTGCAAGGTCATAGGCCGAGTAGGGAGTACTCGCCGAGTACTCGCCGAGTACTCGACGAGTAAATAACCCAGCTCACAAGAAGAAGTGCTTTCATTAGAACCGGACCCAGGGTATGTATATTTATATATCATTATTTACTTAATAGAATATATTTATTTAAAGATATACTATGCGTTACTAGAAGATTTTGTAATGAATTTTATAATTTATTAAATTAATTTGTCACTTTTTATTTCCATTGTTTAAACTTGATTCATTTATAATTTTCCCCTATTATAAAAATTAACCTAATTAAGACTAAACACGTTTGTATATTCTAAAATAGGACTATTATGTTTTTATTTCCTACATTGCAGGGTGTTGTAGCGGTGTTGTAGCGGCGGACATGTCCAGCGCTACTAGGAGGCCTGTGGCGTGGCGTTTGGGTGTAGCGTACATAGCAACCGCTATAGCTATGCTAGGGTTTTCAACGTTTAATTTTTTATTGCAGAGATATAAGAATAAACTATACTTTTAAAACTAAATATTAACCGACTTAAAACCATTGTACACGTACGAAAAAGCTCAGAACTCTGAAAACGGCTCTAACTTTTGAAAATGCTATGTATGTCTTCTTTCTGCTCTGCGATGTCTTGCTCTTCAAGAATGACACATGTTGCACTCCTTGTTGCTTCTTTTCGGCGCTTTGTCTTCTACAAAATCTTGGTTGCAGACTTGCACTCCTCTTCTAAGTAGGATATTCTGCTGCAATATCCTATATACAAGAACAACAACCTTTGTTGGAGTCTTCTTTGCTTCTTCTCAGTATTTATCTTGTACAACAAAGTTCTTGGTTATTTTGTATGGTATCCACTATCATGTTTAATCCCACAGGAGATCACCTTGACCGTGCTTGGAAGTGGAACACTTTGAAAGATGCAAAAGACAAAGACTATTACTTGTGATTTTTGTGGCAAAACTACTACATGAGGAATTACGAGAGCCAGAAGGCACCAAATGGAAATAAGAGATGTAGGAGCTTCCAGTTGATGTTACGATTTTACTGAAAGAAGCATATTAGAAGAAAAAGGGGGAAAAGAAGCATACATGGAATAAGCAAGATGATGAAGATGAAATGGAAGAACTTAATGAAATTTTGAATATCAGAAGAGGAAAAGGCCCCTAACATCAGCAATTGAGGCCTCTCATCCTACGGCCAAAAAGACCAAAGCGCCCTTAGACTTGCTTTACTATCAGAAACAAAAAAAAATGATATGCTTGGGAAAAGCTAAGAGGCAAACAAGCATAAATGATGCATGTGACAAGGATGCTAGGGGAAGAACCATTCAATATATATTGTAAGATTTCTATGCACAAATTGAATTGCTTTTAATGTTGTGAATTTAAAAAGTTTCAAATTGATGGTTGAAGCTATTGAAAATTATGCTCCTCATTTAAAGCCCCCAAGCTACCATGAGTGTAGATTTCCACTTCTTAAAAATGAATTGGAATACACCTAGAGACTCTTAAAGGGTCAATGTTTGTGAGGTTATTTTCTACCATAAAAAAATAAACACTTTTTTTTGCAAGTAATGACAGTTGTTATACCGATGGTAGACAAGCTAAGGAAACGAAAGGTGGATATACCGAGAGGCTTGCACGGTGCCCAGTAGCTTCGCTAAAAATTTGTGTTCCGCACATGGCATTCGCGCTTCATGCCCATAGCATGCCCACCTCCTGTCTGAATTTGGTTATGCTTCCTTCAGAAAAGTTGTAGATGATGAAGTCTTTTATCTACCCCAACTTGAGAATCTGGAATTGGATCATCCCATCAAAAGATATGAATGAAATGTTGGAAGGTCACATCTTGAAATTGCAACAACGAATATCTAACTTACTTGTCTGTTTTTACCTTGATCCTCTCATATTATATTCATTGTGTCTTCTTATTAAATTATCTGTATCTCATTAAGTTATCTTTCATATGAAACTTGAATCGTTTCAGTTGGATGTTTCTACAAAAAACATATGCTCAATCGGTTGATAGAGCGTCATTGTAATTCAATGTTGCGGGTTGGGCGGTGGTCCAAATAGCCGTTTTTTATGCTCCTTGAGTCCACGTTCGTACCCATACTTGATCCTTGACCTCCCTTGACTTCAAAATGACTCTTTTAATGCCGCGTAGACCTTCAATGCTACTCAAATGCGTCTCGACTCATCTCGAATAGTTCTCTAACGCCGGTGTCAGGCTTAATTTCCTGATTTTCTCTCTAAAAATACGAAATGCAAACGAAAATCTGGTAAACTATGAATTGAGTTAATTAGGCGCTTTTTGACACATTTAAGCTAGAAAAATTGGCTAAAACCAATCCCAACACACATAAAATGGGTGTTAAAATATGGACTTGTCAAGGCTATAAGTTGTGAAACGAGGAAGACAAAAT